GAAAGTTTTTTATTCAACAAAGTAATAGTCCATTTATACCATAAGTTTCAAGATAAGAAAGTTGCGTGGAACCTTGTCAAAGGCTTTTTCAAAGTTAAGGTAAATATTGTCAATAGGAATATTGTTATCAAGTGATAGTGTCCAATAAACAATTACATTTAATAGGTTGGTTAAACAGGGGTGACCTGGGGAAAATCTGTGATGGTATGGACTTTATTAAATAATTATTATTAAATAGATGTGCCATAATATGATTTTGTAGTATTATTTCAAAAAATATTACTGAGATACCAGTAAGACTGATGGGTCTATAAATAATAGTTTTTGAACTGTCTACTTTTTTAAATAATCATAAAATTGTTGCATCTTTTCATATTTGTGGTATTAAACCAATTTTAAAGACTTAAAAATAATGATATGTATAGTGATAATATAGGTAATATAGATAAATATTGATAATTATAAATATAGTTAAAAATAGTGATAAAAATTTTCAAATTAGAAAGCTAACTTTTTTAAATATTATTGGATGTAGTTTGTTTAGATTAAGGATTCTACTATTTTCAGGGCTTAAATCGATATTGTTTTATCCTTGGCCCTATACTTTTTTTAATTTATAAAAATGATCTTCTCGAAATTTTAACATCTAAGGTGCCATTGTTTGCTGATAATATTAATATTTATTCTTGTCTTGATAAGAAGCCAATACTGTCTGATGGCTTTGAGGGGGCATTTCAGTTTGAAAAGGATCTTACTTCTGTTACAGCATGGACTCTCAGTGGCCGGAAAACGTCAATCTTCCTATATTTATAAACAGTAATGTAATTGACAAGTCTTCCTTTGTTCTTCTAGGATTAACTCTTACTTCCACTCTTTTTTGAAAACCATATATCAAATCCATTGCAAAATAACGGTCTGCTAAGGTTGCATCTCTTTATTGTGCTTGCCACTTTCTTACTTTGGATTCTATTCTTTATCTCTATAAATCTCAAATTCGTCCTTGTATAGGGCAAATTTGACTTGTATATGTTGCCATATCTGAAGCAGATCTTAGAATGATGTTCTTTTTCTTTTTAGGCTAAGTGCAAAAATGCATTGTAAACATATATTAATATATATAAAAATGCATTGTAAATATATATATATATATTGTAGAAATTATGTTTATATATATTATAGGAATTATGTTAATATATATATATATATATATATTTTAAGCTATTTTGTATAAAAGAAGTTTAATTTTAAATTTGTGTAACCTAATTTAAAACTACACGCGTTTACTAAAGTTCTGGCACTTTTTGGTTAAGTTTGTTGTTTACAAAATTAATTACATCATTACATAATTAAAATTTTTGTTTTGGTAAAAAATATATATTGGTAAAATTTAATAGAAAAATATATTGGTTAATATTTTATTTTAGTAAAACAAATCATTTGTAAATGCAATTAAAAGGGGTCATCCATAAAGCATTTTACCCTATATTGTTATTATTTAATCTCTTTGTGTTATTACTTAACCTCTTCGCTCTTGTCACAAACGATCACATATACCATATAAACCTCACCCCCCTAAACTGTGATAGCAGTTTTTACACTAAAAAATTTACTCCAAAAATTTTACATAAAGAATTTAAATGTAAATACTTTGCAGCATTTCTAAAATTCAACCCAATGAAACTAAGGCCAGAACATGTTTTACTTACTTATAAATGTAAGAAGTGTAAGTAAAACTTTTGGCCAACAAAAAATTTACTTATTTAAATGCTGTGTTTTTTTTTTTTCAAAAAAAGATGCCAGAACTTATTATGTATTAGTTTTAGCAAGTCAAAAATAAAGCAGGAACTAGCTATTAATTTGTAAATAAAATTTATACATATATATAGTCGTTGGTGGGCTCCCACACCTATCATACCCAATAAGATTGGAATAAACAAAGTTGTTTTCAAATGAAAGAAGCTTTTTGTTATTTTTCAAAATAAAAACAGATGTTATTATCTGGGTGGGGGAGGGGTTGAGTGAGATGATGGGTCAAGACACTGTATATAACATACAAACTATATAAAACTAAACTTCTATAACAAATTTCAGAGTTTTTTTCAATTTTCACTGTACAAATCATCTCGTCTTCTTTCCTAGCTCTTAATGTCCACAGCTAAATTCCTTCTACTAAAGAACCAGCAATCAACATACTTTAAAAGATGAAAGCTTGTTCGTAGTGGTCCTACTAATTTGATGAATAAAAACGTTGAAATTGTTTTGGTCATTAATGAAGCCCTGGTTGGTGTAATAACCATTTTATCCATTCATCTTTAAAAATTCTTGTTCGCATTCACTTGAAGAAATGGGGATAGTATGAAAAGGGTCCACCAAATGAACTAAATTTTTTGGATATGTGTTAATTTTAAAAAAGAAACTAATTTCATTATATAAAAATGTAAGAAAAATATGCTTACATACAAGTAAAAGATATATATATATATATATATATATAATGGTC